ACAAGAAAGAAACTAAGACCTTGAGAGAAAGTAATTTGTACACGCTTTCATATACTGCGTGCCAAGCGAGGAAGGAAAAGGAGTGGCAGAGCCAGTAAGAGAATGAAGGAGATCAGGCAGAAAGTTATTTAGACTAAGCAGATGAAAAGAGAGGAGGAATGGCAAAGTTAGGAATATGTTCCATGTAGATATCTTGTCACCGCCACAGAAATGATCTAGAGTCGAGCTGCCTGGCCTGTGGAACAGAAACTCGGACGAGAGCTCAAGAAGGTGACCCCTGGGCCCTTTCAATTCTACAATCCTGTAAAACAGAAAAGCAAATTATCTTCAGAAGAAATGCTTGGAGACATACGTCGTAGTATTAAAGCTACTTTCATCGACGTCTAGGACAGAAGCTGCAGGATATACTCAGCTCCCGTGATCTTCATTCTGGCTTATCTAGTATCTAATTTACCTTAAGAAGGAAGCGTGAAAGGGAAGAAGAGAAGAGTGGAGGCCCAAATCCAGGAATGTAGGCTCTTGCACCCTCCTACGTTAAGGGTGGGAGATGGAAATATTTACCAAAGAACTCAAAGGCCAAGTTCAGAGAAAGAGGGAGAGACAGGGCATGAATGCATGCAGCACCATGAAAGACACGTGACACAAAAGCTTGAAGTGAAGGGTGGTGCACATCAAGGGGTGTGACAAAGTAGCAACAAAGTGAAAAGAGGCGTCCTAGAGGCCGTATATGAGGTCACTAAGAGAACACCAATGGCATTTGGTGTGCAGCTTCTGTAGTGAAGACAGTCAGGGTGCAAGCCTGCCACCAAATGAAATAAAAAAACAAAAACAAAACAAGGATTATTGATAGCAAGTAATCAATGGTAACTACTTGATTAAGAAGTTGGACAGTAAAAGAAGAAAAGACAAACAGGACAGTAGGCAGAGCTAGTAATAGGGACCAGTGAAAATGATCTTTGTTTCTCTTTGCAGGAAAAGAAGAAAGAACTGGTAGGGAAGGAACGAGTAAGGGGTAATATTATTAGTTATAGCAACAAGATATATTCATTGAGCATTTCCCAGCACCTGCTCTGTAGGTACTTTTTTTTATGAGAAGTGGAGGTCGTAACTCTACAAGCATCCTCAGTGAAAGCTATCCTGTGCTATCCCATAGCTGTTCCGTATGTCAGTCCATTAAGCATTTCCAAATGAGTCATGATAACTGGATGCTTTAGCCTTTTCTTCATGTGTTGGGAAAATAATGTGAAATTAAATATTTTAAAAACAACATTTAAAACCAGAGCAGAAGAAAGTAATAGGACATATAAACATATTTGTGAAGCCAAGCTACTCAAAAAAATTAAAGTTGCTAAATCCCAAGGAGAAATTAATGGGATGCTGACATCATACCAGCGAAAAAAATCAAGACAGATAGATGATGGCTGGTTGCTGAAAGGGTCACGAAATTGGCCGTCGGGCAGACAGACATCATGAGCACTGATTTGTTGGTCAATCCCCGTTTTGGTCAATTTGCTGTTTTAAAATCCTGCTATTGTTGCATTTGTATTATTAGGAAATCATGTGTCACCAAAAAATGAAGAATACAGACACATGCTGATGTGACCTCAACAAGACTACAGCCCTGACAGTCGCCAAGGCCTCCAAGGCCTTTAAGAAATAAAAAAGATACACCTGAGACTAATATAACATTGTTTGCCAACATTTTAATAAAAATTGTTTTAAAAGAAATGCTCAAGCAGGGGTGTGACAAAGTTCAGTATTTTAAAATTTGTCATAGTTAATTCCTATTGGAAGTGACTAAATTCTATTAAAAGTCACTTCTAGCAACATTTCCTTTAAAAGTCAACTTATTTTTAAACCTACAAAATGAACTTTAAATCAAAATAGCTATTGATTCCTCAGAGGGGTTGCTCAAGTAATTGACTTCACATTTAAATAAATCTAAGATGGATGAAGAAACCAACCCTGACAGAAAAGGCACCCTGGCTTTATTTCTATGTCACAGTTAAACTTCACATTTTAGAACTGACTGCCCCCCCCCAAAGCAGGCTTTTCTGTGGTGCTACATGGGGGGAGGTCCCACATACCTGTAGTTTGTGCAGGTAAGTGGTGCATTGCTAGTTCATTACCTGCCATGCAAACCTCCGCATCTGATTTATCTCTGCTAGACCTTGCGACTACCTTAAATTTAAATTGGGGAGGGGGGAATTATCCATTCTCAATCATATTCAGGCAGGCATGTGTGCACACATACAGAGGTCAAGAACTCCATTTTACTTTCCCCTTTGTGGGTGGAAGGACAAGAGGCACAGAGCCCACTGGGCTTTAAAGGCATGCTGATTGTCATCATCTCAGCGACCAAGGCGGGGAAGCTGTTTCTGTACCATGGGACAGCTAGCTGTCTCTGACTGACAAACCACCCACCTTAGTATTAGAACTGAGCAGAGAGAACTGCCAGAGATTCCCTGGGCGCTAATACAGAGGATACTTCAGCACCTCGGACAGCTCCCACCTAAGCAAGCTACATAGACTAATTGGCAGCGTGTCCCCAATTAGTCGTATATCCTCAGGTTTAAATTTGGGTAGCAAAACGATTACTCAAGATTCATTAATCCTGACAAGGGCTGGTATCAGAAAGGCAGGTTTTTATAGCTACTGTTTTTAACTAGTACCTGTTATCTTAAACTAATTACAGACGGTATTCCTGGAGGTAAAGCGGTGTGTTCCCTATGCACATCTATGTTTGAGTAAATTTTTTGACATACTTTTCCAATTTTAATAACTTTTCTGAGAAAAGCACATAAATATTTTAAGAAAGCGATGCTACCTCTGTGCTAGCCCTGTGTCATTGTTTTAATCGCACATTTTAAATGTTTATATATATTTCATAAGGATACTGCATATACATACGCTATACTTATAATTACATACCACACACACACACACACACACACACACACACACACACTCTTCTATATTTTTCAAGAAGAAACAATGATGTCAGGACTTGATGAGTTTAAGTTAGAGATGCTGTTCAGAGCCTCATCAGGAGAAACCATTTGCAAATTTAAATCCCCAATTTGTTCCTTAGTTCAACCCTTTTGCTAATCTGAGAAACAGAGCTAGACAAATGTCAAACAGAAAAGAAGGAAATATACGCCCCAGGCTAAGATGAAAAAAAAGGAAAAAGATGGGTGGAGATCAACAGAATTCAGAGCCTCTCGCCTTTCCTTTCTCCTAGCGACACCTAGAGACTCTGAGAAGAAATTGCATCGCTCTCACGCCAAGCATAACACAATTGGACAGTTTTAAGTTAGATTGAAGGCAAAAAGTGCATCATTTCCGTCTGCACTGCAGCTGAATTGCCTTTCCCAAGATTCTCGGTAGTTTAATCCTTCAGAATTTTGCACCAACCCCAATGAACCCCTCCCTCTTCAAAGATGTCCAGTTCCTTAAACCTGAAGAATTCCTGAATTTCCCTTAGGTCCTGACCCACTGAAATGAGGGTCATCTCTCTGGTCGTCTCCATGGAACCAGGGGAGACTCCAAGTCTTCCGAAAGAAAATAAGAGAATCTCATGCAAAATCTGATGCACGGTGTGGTGTGTGTGTGTCTGCGCACGCGCGTGCAAATTTAGGTCATCTCTGTTACAGTCTCCACATCCTCCATTCATAAAACAAACCAAAGACGACCAGTAACAACAACAAAACCCCAGTGACTTTTTCAGAACTGCCCCAGGGAACGCACTCAGACTCCGCCCCACACGCACCCACCTTGCACTATAAAAGGAATAAGCAAATGGTGAGGCAGTGTGATGCAAGGTAGGGCACATTTAACAACCACAACCCCTGCTCCGTGCTGGGACTGCTACCTATGTCAGGGGAGGCTGAGAGTCCTGTGTGAGCGCCAGTGCCCAACTGGGAACCCCTCAAAGGTACATGTGGAGAGTTCTACAACCCCACACATTCTGCACCTCTCTAGGGGCTGCACCAGCCAAGCCAGCCCTGCTCTCTGTCTGAGAGCTTGTCTGGGATTTTTCTCTTCTCCCTGGGAAGAGAAGGTCTCAGAAAACGTTTGCTTCCTCTCTTGGAGGTCATCCCTGGCCCTCTGAATAGCTGGATGGGATCAACAGAAGCGGTGGAACACACCTATCTATCTATGCAGCCCCCTGGTGTCCTGCCTGAGTCATCGGTTACTAAGGTGATATGCAAATCCAACCTTTGAAACCCAGGCTTCCAGCTCTGAGAAGCGTAGGAAACGTGCTCCCGGAGAAGTTTTCAGCTAACACGGTCTAAGGGAGAGTTGCTAGTCCGAGGCTGGGTGTGATGGGCAGGCAGGGCCTGAGGCCCGGCAGCGAAAACTGGGCTGGGCCCTGGGACAGGTGGTTGGGCCTCCGGTGCTGGTGCTTTTATTTTTTGTGGTTGTTGTTAAAGAAAACCACCACCATCACCACCACCGCTACCAGCAAGGGTGGGGGTGGCGGTGCGGGGAGCGCCTTGGAGAAGTGAGAAGTGGACAGCGTCGCCAGGGGGGCTGCTGGGGGGGAGCGCAAGGGGCAGAATCCAGTGACAAGTGGGAGGGAGAGAAAAAGCGCCTGGGACATTATCTTCCCCGAGTCTTAAAGCAGCAAAACAAAGAAAAAATCAACTTGTAACTACAACCAGACCGAATTCTCTGCTTAGGACCCACTGCTCCGTGCGGTTAACAACAGACTCCACCCGCCCTGGAAGCCGCCGGCTAATCCCACGTTCCGGCAGCTCAGCACCACAGGCGCTGCTCTCAAGCCACCAACTCCTGGCCGCCGGCGCCGCGGAGACCCGCTCCAGGACCGCGGTGACCGCGACCGCCGCTAAGGGTGCATTTGGGGGGCGCTCCCGGAAGCGCAGGGGGACGGGAGGGGGGGAGGACCGCCGAAGACCATCCGGGACGCGAGCGGACGCCTCGCCCCGCGCGCTCGGCCCCAAGCCCGTGCCGCCCCCCAGCCACCGGGATGCGCTTACGTCCTCGTCGTCGCAGTCGCTCCGCGCCTGGTACTGGAACCGGGGCCGGCCGCCCGCGCCGCCGCCGCGCTCCCGGGGCCCCGCCGCGGTCGCCTGGGCTCCGAGGGGCTTGGGCCCCGCGCCGTCGTCCTCGGGCCCCTGGCCGCCCAGCAGGCGGCTGGCCTCCGGGGGCGCCGGGAAGGACCGGGAGGTGTTGATCTTGCCCGTGAAGCGCTGGTACAGCGAAGCCATGGGTCCCCGCGCGCGCCCGCCGGCTGGCTGCGGGGCGGCTTTCCCTTTCGCCGTCTCGCTCTCGGGCTCCCCACCCGCTACAGGGGGGGCGCGGGGAAGAGGAGGGGGACGAGGCAAGTGGCCGCGGGCGCTGCTCGGCGCGCCGCGCTCCCGCCGCCGAGCGACCGCCCGGCCCAGCCCCTCGGCCCCCCCGGCGCTCGGCGCGGCGGGGTCTGGGGGCGCGCTCTCTGTCTCGCTCCCGTTCTGGGTTTTTCAACTCCTCGCCCGGGCCACGCGGGGCCTCCTCAAAGGCAGTGGCAGGGCGGGACCCACAGAGCAGCACCGAGGGGAGGGGGGGACGCCCAGGCCCCGGCACTGGCACCACCTAGAGCCGCGAACCCCCAGAGCGCGGCTCCCCGCTCCCCGCCCGGCGCCCAGGCGGCTCCTCCTCCCCACGCGGCCCGCCACCCGCCGGGTAATGGCGCCCGGGCGGCCGGGGGCTGGTGGCGAGGCGGGGGTGCACATGGGGGTGCGGGCGAGCAAACAGTAGGGCTGAAGGGAAGGGGCCCCGGGGAAACCGCTGTCAGATGCGCCCCCTTTCCTTTTCANGGGGGGGAGGACCGCCGAAGACCATCCGGGACGCGAGCGGACGCCTCGCCCCGCGCGCTCGGCCCCAAGCCCGTGCCGCCCCCCAGCCACCGGGATGCGCTTACGTCCTCGTCGTCGCAGTCGCTCCGCGCCTGGTACTGGAACCGGGGCCGGCCGCCCGCGCCGCCGCCGCGCTCCCGGGGCCCCGCCGCGGTCGCCTGGGCTCCGAGGGGCTTGGGCCCCGCGCCGTCGTCCTCGGGCCCCTGGCCGCCCAGCAGGCGGCTGGCCTCCGGGGGCGCCGGGAAGGACCGGGAGGTGTTGATCTTGCCCGTGAAGCGCTGGTACAGCGAAGCCATGGGTCCCCGCGCGCGCCCGCCGGCTGGCTGCGGGGCGGCTTTCCCTTTCGCCGTCTCGCTCTCGGGCTCCCCACCCGCTACAGGGGGGGCGCGGGGAAGAGGAGGGGGACGAGGCAAGTGGCCGCGGGCGCTGCTCGGCGCGCCGCGCTCCCGCCGCCGAGCGACCGCCCGGCCCAGCCCCTCGGCCCCCCCGGCGCTCGGCGCGGCGGGGTCTGGGGGCGCGCTCTCTGTCTCGCTCCCGTTCTGGGTTTTTCAACTCCTCGCCCGGGCCACGCGGGGCCTCCTCAAAGGCAGTGGCAGGGCGGGACCCACAGAGCAGCACCGAGGGGAGGGGGGGACGCCCAGGCCCCGGCACTGGCACCACCTAGAGCCGCGAACCCCCAGAGCGCGGCTCCCCGCTCCCCGCCCGGCGCCCAGGCGGCTCCTCCTCCCCACGCGGCCCGCCACCCGCCGGGTAATGGCGCCCGGGCGGCCGGGGGCTGGTGGCGAGGCGGGGGTGCACATGGGGGTGCGGGCGAGCAAACAGTAGGGCTGAAGGGAAGGGGCCCCGGGGAAACCGCTGTCAGATGCGCCCCCTTTCCTTTTCAAACCAAGCTCTGCTCTGAAAACAAATCCATTTCCCTCCGTCCAGCCTCAAAAGGACGGGCAGGAAAGGCCCGGGAAAGCAAGCCGGGGCGGGGGGCGGGAGTGGGGGCTGGGGGAGGCCTGCCGGAGCCTCGGGGCAACTCAGTTCAACGCTCCTCCCCCACACATCCCCTATGTGTGTACATCGCCAACTCCATTTTCGTTTTCAATAAATTCAGGCAGAGGCTGACACATGTGGGATGCGGGCAACTTTTCTAGAGCTTGCTCCGCGCCCCCCAACCCCCGCCCTCCGGGGGCGCTGAGAGGGGAGAGAGGACAGGAGCGGGGCCCGGTCCGGGTGCGCGCGGCTCTCCTGCGGCAACACAACGTGCTCCAGCGCCCCTGTGTGGACAGACGCGAGCTGCTCCGCGGGGCCTGGCTCCCACTCAGACCGCCGGCTCCTGGGGTTCTCCTTCCCTTTCCCGGCATGGGTTCCTCCCTTCCGGCCTCCGGGGTCCTCTCCCACCTTCTCGAATCCGCGCCGTCATCTTTCTAGAGGCTCTGGGCACGACTGCTTCCCGTCTAGTCCCGCACCCTCAGCCCCCGCGCCCCCACCGTCCTCTTCGTGAGGTCCCTTCACTCTTGTTTGCAGCCCTCCCAGCTGGGACGATCTGTGCCATCCTGAGTGCCAAGAGGGACTAGGCCCCCAAACTCGAGGCAGGGGATAGGCAGGAGGCTGCCCCTGCTCAGACCCTGTGCTGCTCGGTCCACACCAGGTCACGGTGGACATGTGTCTGCACCTTCACTTCCTCCAGGACTCAGCAGAGCTGCCTGCTCCACCGAGGTTCCACCACGACTTCTGTTCAGGCTTCCAGGAGCACAGGCGAGGCCATCACTCAGCAGGCCACACTCGCCAGCCTTTGCTGGGTTTGAGTCCAAGGCCATCTCCTGGTACCACTGCCCAAGACCAAAACCTCAGACGGACCCTGCCTAGTCCTGAACTTGTCTCCTCCCTCTGTCTCCTTACCCCGGAGGGAGAGGCTGGGGGCTGGTGAATGCCCCTGGGAAAGGGCCGCTTCCAGTCCCGTCCACACTCTCCAGAAGCTCTGAGCCCAATGGGCAGTTTTCAGTTTTAATCAAAACTTAACCACACCCTTCCTCTGCTTAATCCTCTCTGTTTTTCCCATCACTGTGTAGGAAGTGCATTCCTTAAGGTCATTTAAAAACACGTTTCTTTACAGCAACTATAAAAACAAAGAAACCCAGTATCCCCTAGCTAATAGGCTCCCTGCCAAGCCAATGCCCCCTGCACAGGCAGAGGTGCCACCACAGGTCTGAGGGGCGGGGACAGTTTCCCAGCCCCACTTGACTTGGAAGACAGAGGTAGCAATTACAAGAGCCATAAAGCTACAGACTTTAAAAGTCACCGCATTTAGATAGAAAACCTTTCTCTCATCCCCGACCCCAGCTGTGCTTTTGATCAGAGGAGCTACCCTTCCCTAAGGGGAGTTGAGAGGAAGGCTCCTGCCATGAGCTCTGGATGCCACAAGGGACTGACTTATGTAACATACATGGAGATGGAGGAACTATGCATGCGTGTGGTACAGCAACGGTAAGAGGCATTATATATACATTTCCGTACTAACATTTTATACAAAATATAGTATTTCTATGGAAACAGTTATACAGCACACACAATACTTGATGGCTATAGAACGCAATAGATTGAACATGAGATAAAGAAGGCACGCAGGGCCCTCACTTTTAAAAACTATGTCTTCAGGTGAGCTCAGAGAGATTCAAATTACCATTTGGTCAAAGTTAAAAATCCTAGTTAAAATATTCAGGCACTTAGGCTAAGCGCTTTCCCTTTAACATTATTTATACAATGAAAACAAAACTATAAATCTCATGAACAGTTCGGGGAAGAGCTGAAGTACAAATTTGTGTTGAGAGAAGCAAATCTGAAAATTAAACAACAGAAGTGGGGGCTCAGGATGAGCACGGCCCCTCGGAGGCAAGTGTGAAGGGGTAATCACAGGATGACACTGCGAGGTGGGGTTCTCAGGTGCAGTCTGGACTGAGGGCCCAGAAGGTAACTTAAAAAGAATTTGGCTGCGTTCTCCCACCTTGCATGTGGAACACGGTTCATTTCAAAGGGTGTTTTACACTTGCTGTGCAAGCCTGTGCACATGTGTTTCCAGCATGTGGGCACGCACACATCCAAATCTGCCCTAAACGTTGATACACGCATCACAGTCTATATGGTTAGATACACTGTCAGGACTCTGACGTCGCAAGTGTGAAAGAGTAAACCCGTTCATATTTTAGGACGAGTGAAGGAATGCAATGCAGAGGCTTGGAAACCAAGGCACTTAATGTATAAGATCCATAATTAATTCACTGCTTGCCTTCAATAACTTTTCAGAACCCCATCCCCCAAATAAGGAAAAAGATCCTAGAAGAGCAGCAAAAACGTTGCAACGGGCACTTAAATAGAGCTGCAGCATTTCAGAAGGGAACAAATATACCAATAGCTGTCCCCACTCACCCTGTCACTAAACATCTCGAATACACTGTATACTCAAGTAGATTTCCATTCCTGCTTATTAGGCAGGCAGGGGAAAGTATGTTTACAAAAATATTCTGTGGATTGTTTCACAAGGTTTTAATTCCTCAATACTAAAACCTATGTCCACTGACCCTTTTTTTCCTACCTAGTTTCCTAGGATTATTCCTTCCTTGTTATTAAATAAAAGCATGAAGGTGTGCTCATTTTCCCTGGAACCAAATGACAAAACCAATACGTTAACCTCACTGGATTTGGGCAGATGCTGCAGAAGATGGCAGGAAGTCATTTTTTTGTTATTGTTGTTTAAATGACAGTAAAGGCAACTTTTGGGTCTCCATGCAAGCTAAGCATTATAAAAATACCGAAAGCACACTGAGTTCAGCAGCCTAAGCATGATTTATTTCTCAGCTAAGAGGTTTTCTTATTGCTAGGAGAGAAGTCTATCCTATAATTTACTTCCCCTTTCTCTGTGAGGAGGAGGAGGGCAGAACCCTATTTAAGATTTTTATTCTTTTCCAAATGCGGATATTTGGAGAAGTGAAATGGCCAGCCTAGCATAGTCTGAAGGAGGGGCTTCCTGAAACACTAGACATCAGTATCTTTCAGATATTAGCACCTGAACTTGCATAAGTGGGGAGAAGTAAAGCAACAATTCGGTAGCTTGAGAAAATAGGTGCTGAATACATAAATACAAACGATGTTCTCAACTCTCTCCACCTCCATCTGTCTCTGTCTCTATCTCTATCTCTATTTTTCTTTCTTTAAAAAATGGTTTTTGCAAGATGGCTACCAGTTAGGGTCTGGGTGGTATGACTTCTTCCCAAACTTCACCAACAGGTAAGGTCCAGCACAAGAGAAAAAGAATTGCTGTCCCTGGCTTTCAAAAACCACAGTGTTCAAGTATGAATGGAGTTCATTTTGAGCTTTCCAAATTGATACTGAAAGATTCATGTGTTTTAAAGAAAAACATTTATTTCAACCCAACGAAAAAGGCTTACTGCAAAATTAATGAAGTTCAATTTTAATCTGCCAGCAGCGCTTTTCTCTGCATTTGCGACTGTCATCGTGCAGCTGCCTGGTTTGTACACAGAGTTCAACACATACATACAACTCACGACCCTAGCAGCACGCACACAGCCGCACGCACTTCATCAGCAGGAGTGGCCGAGCTGACGGCCACGTCAGTGACAGCCACCCATGCAACTGAATGGCTCATGTCTCCCTCGTGAAAATACGTGAGGGCTTCGTCAGAACCTCCCCTTCCTTTCTCTGCGACTCCCCCTCTCACCTGCCCTCCAGACACCGGACCCTAATCCATTTCCTCTTTCCTCACAGTTTTTATCTTCCTTTCTCCCCT